TATGAGGTTTCAGATGAGCGCCATACGTGCGTTGATGGAAGCGGCGGAAGCATATCTCATCAACCATTTCGAGAGAACGAACATCATTGCTATCCACTGCAAGAGGGTGACGATCCAGYTGAAGGACCTGAGGCTGGTTGATAACTTGTCCAAGGCTCGCTGGRAATACAGATACCAAGGCATTACCGACGAGCAGAAAAGAGCAGAAAAGCTACGGCAGATGAATGCTGCAAGGCAAGAGGAGAGAGATGCGCGGGCGGGGAAGGGGTTGTCAGGGAAGATAGCAGCAGCACGCAAAGGCGGTGACACTCCAGCGGCGTCATCGAAGAGGAAAGGAGCCCCGCGTAAAGGCAATGCAGTAAAGAAAACCACGAGATAAGAACACAGTGAAGACTGCAGTGAGACCGCGCCACGTGACTTGCATTGACTTGCTGTTATCTGCGGCCTGCGGTGGGACACAGGGGCTGTACTGTAGTAGTGCAGATTCCTTGTTTTGTTTGTGTGTGGGCCTGACCGTTGACTAAGTTTGTTGGGACTGACCGCACGCCCCATATGCAATTCTGAATATTGCTGGGCCAGTACCAACCGCTCTTGTGCATACGACCTCACTGTCGAATTGACAGCCCCGGGCTATTCGGAAAGCCAGCGGTGTCAACCGCTATTCTGTGGGATGAGCCCGTAGCCGGGTAAGGTCCAGGCCAAAACTGGGCAAGTTGAGTCGGTGCCGTTGGTATAGGTGGTAGCGCAGACTAGGGCAGGCGTATGTAAAGTGTAGATGCATGGTGGGGGATCTTTCTGCCCAATTCATACTTCGTGGTATGAGTTCCTGTGCACGACGTTTGCTGCACGAGTCTGGGCCCGACACACAACCGCTATTGTGTTGTGTGCTGCATGATCTGCGTACTGGCGATCCTACAAGAGCTGTTATGTGCTGCATGAGCTGCTGTGAGCCGTGTGATGTGTGGTATTTGAGCTGCTGTGTGCTGTTCGGTGTGTGTTGTGTGCTGCACGAGCTGCTGCGTGGTGTGTGCTGTGTGTTGCATGAGCTGCTGTGTGTTGTGTGTTCTGTGTTCTGTGATGTGAGTTTTGTGGTGTGTGCTGTGTGTGTTGTGTGTCACCTGCTGTGTGCGGTGTGCTGCATGAGCTGAGTAGTGGCAGTCCTCCTGTGTGTTGCATGAGTCTGGGGCTAGCAGCGGTCTGGCCTATCACAGGACTGATAGTGGAGACCGTGCGGTAAGCCTCAGACCTTCGTCAAGTTTAGGGTGGAGTTGGCGAGGTGCAGCCATAGCTGCTTGTTCTCAGAGAGTTCATCGTGTGAGCTTCATCGACGTCAGAGACTGTTGGTGCTTTGCTTCTTCTGCGTCCTCAGTGTTTGACTGTTTCGTCGTCCCGCTGGTCTGTCTCTCTCTTGTTTTTGTAGCGCTGGTGTCTGATTTATTTATCAGGTGCTGGCTGATATTGTATGCTCTGTTCACCGCTTGTGTGTATGCTGTTGAGGTGGCGCTAATGTGGAGTCGCCACTTTGGTGAGTTCGACGGGAGTTTGTGCTGCGCTGCTAAGCGCTTGAGGTCAGGGGACTTGAACACTCTTTGTTATCATGATTTGAAAATATATGGCAGGCCACAACTGTGTTCTCTTCTTCTTTATCCTTGTGTATGGTTTGAAGACTTGTGCTCATTCAGGGGGTTGACGATGCGTGTTGTGAACACACTTGCGTCTAATGATGTGAATACTTCTGCAATTGTGAGGTACACAGCAGAGACAATATATGGAGAGGACTTGTTCACAGACATCTTCTCGTTTTGTGCATTGTGATGGTGGTGATGTCATTGTGTACAATGCGATACTGCGACATGTGTGACAATGCATGGTGACATACACTGACATACACATAAACAGATTATGTGTGAGTGAGGCCTGGTAAATTGCAGCTGACAATTATGTGCATAACACATCAATGACCGATAGTATATGTCTGTCGTTTAGTATGTGGGTGTGTGTATGACACATTGCTCACTAATCCTGTGCCTGTTTGCGTTGTCATATGCACTGCACGGTTGAACCACCGAAGCAGAATTATCAAACCAAAATCTACATCTTCTGAAGCATTCAATCTACAGTGTACGCCGTTGCATTTGTCGACAAAGGTATGGTTGCCTGTGTACCTTGAAACTCAAGCCTGCTCTCCCTCTGTTTGTTTTCTTCTCCCTACAACATGTGCACTCTCGTCGTCCTATATCCCATGTCCTGCTCTCCCTCTGTTTGTTTTCGTTTTATGACTACAACATGCACACTCTTGACGTCTGCGGTGGTGAAGGGAAGTGACTATCATACTTCCCGTCTTTGTGACATTCCGTGACGGGCATGTCGAGGCACACGGACATACACAAACACACTTCCTGACTGTATCCGTGTCTGTGTCTGTGTGCGTCTGTGTGTGTCTTTCCTGCATGTCTGACTGTGTCTATGTGTCCGTGTCCCCCTGTCTGTGTCTGTTCCTAACTGCGTATGTCTGTGTATATCAGTGTACGTCTGTGTATGTCCGTGTATGTCCGTGTATGTATATGTCCATATGTCCGTGTCTGTGTATGTCCGTGTGTCCGTTTGACACAGGCGGATACACGGACATACACAGACACGGACATACGGACATACACATACACGGATATACACAGACATGCACTCCCAGGACACAGACGTACGTAGACAGGAACAGACACATACACGGAGACACAGACACACAGAGACAGACAGACACGGACACAGACACACACAGACACAGAGAGGGTCACAGACAAAGACACGGACACACAAACACACACACACACACACACAGACACGGACATGTCCAAGTTGACTACTGCGTGCCGGATTCGTTTCGATGTCATTGAATCGAAGAAATTATGGCACCCAGTAGCCAACCCTCGTATGCGGACAGAGACGCACACGGATACACCGACAGACGCGGACACACAGACATACGGACACACAGACAGACACAGACACAGACACAGACAGACACGGACACAGACATACGGAGACACAGACAGACACAGAGACAAAAACAGAGACAGACACGGACACAGACATACGGAGACAAATGGTGACACATACACAGACACAGACGGATATACAGACATAGACGGATACACACACAGACATACACAAACATACACACACATACACAGACATACACAGACACGGACACAGACATACGGAGACACCTACAAACACATTCACAAACACAGACGGATACACAAACATAGACGGATATACACAGACATCGACGGATATACATAGACATACACGGACATACACAAACGTACACACACATACACAAACATACACAGACATACGCAGACATACACAGACATACACAGACATACACACAGAGACATACACACGCAGACATACGCAGACATACACAGACACACACGGACATACACACACATACACACACAGACATACACACACAGACATACACASACATACACACACAGACATACACATACACAGACATACACAGACACACACAGACATAAACAGACATACACAAACATACACAAACATACACAGACATACACAGACATACACAAACATACACACACAGACATACACAGACATACACACACAAATGGTACACAGACATACACAAACAGACACAGACAGACACGGGCACAAACATACGGAGACACGGACACAGACAGACACAGATACAGACACAGATACAGACACGGACACAGACATACAGAGACACAACCAGACAGAGAGACAGACACAGACACAGACAAACAGGGACACAGACATACGGAGACACAGACAGACACAAAGACACAAACACAGACATACGGAGACACTGACTGACACAGAGACAAACACAGACAGTCATGGACACAGACATACGTAGACACCTTCACACACAGACACAGACACAGACGGATACCAAAACATAGACGGATATACACAGACATAGACAAATATACATAGACATACACGGACATACATAAACATACACACATACACAGACATGCACACACATACATACACAGACATACACAGACATACACGCACATACACAGAGATACACAGACATACATAGACATACACAGACATACACACACACAGATACAGACACAGATACAGACACACACACACGAAAGATATAGAGACAGACATAGATACAGAAACACACATATACACACACAGACACAGACACACACACACACACAGACACATACAGACACACACACACATACACACACACATACACACACACACACACACACACACACACACACACACACACACACACTTGGCGGAGGACTATTCCGTCTTAGGTAAGTTGTACTCTGCCCTCCATGGCTTTATGAATGAATGGTTCGTGGCCCTGTGATACGTACAATGCTTCACACGTATGAAAAGGGAGGGGCTGGGTGCTTGGGGGGAACTTGTCAGTGGGCCGCGGAACACCCCCTACGGTTGCCAAACCAATGGGGAGCGGTTTGGGTGGAGAGTGAGAGCAGGGA